TCGTCCGTCGTCCGTCCGTCCGTCCGTACCGTACCCGTACCGTCCGTCCGTCCGTCCGTACCGTCCGGTTCCGTTCCGTCCGTCCCGTCCCGTCCCTCCTCCTCCTCCTCTCGCGCGCTCTCTCTCTCTCTCTCTCTCTCTCTCTCTCTCTCTCTCTCTCTCTCTCTCTCTCTATCTTTCTACCCGGCCTTTCGCCCCACAGGAATGCGTCGTGCAGATCCGCAGGGACGTCGACCGCAACCTCAAATCCAAGAGCCGCCAGGAGCGCCAGATCGCCACGATTGTCTGGCTGATTGACAACTTCTCGCTGCGTGCGGGCAACGAAAAGGGCGAGGACGAGGCCGAGACGTACGGCGTGTGTTCGCTGCGGTGCGAGCACGCGCGGATGAAGCCGCCGCACACGCTCCACCTTGAGTTCCTCGGCAAGGACTCGATGAAGTTTGAGGAGGACCTGACCATCACCAACCCGGACGTCTACAAGAACCTGTGCATGTTCCTCCAGACGAGCGGGCAGAAGGACCGCAAGGGCCAGTTTGTGCGCAAGAAGCCGTCGGACCCCATCTTCTGCGCGCCCTACGAGGTGGACACGGTGCCCGCCAAGCTGCAGCCCATCGCGCCCGATTCGGTCAACCGCTTCCTGTCGCAGTACATGCCTGGCCTCAGCGCCAAGGTCTTCCGCACCTACAACGCCTCGACGACGTTTCAGGGACTGCTCGACCAGACCGAGGAGTGGCTCCGCTCGCGCCCCAAGCCGCAGGAGCGCGAGATCAACGTCAACAACCTCAAGATCGCCTACAACGAGGCCAACCGCCAGGTGGCCATCCTCTGCAACCACCAGCGCACCGTCAACCCGGTCGCCATGGGCAAGATTGTCGAGCGCGCCCACGACAAGATGTTCGCCCTGCGCTACGACATCCACAAGGAGCAGCAGAAGCTCCTCACCTTCCACACCAAGGCCGAGGTCAAGAAGGATCTCGGCGCCAAACAGGCCGAAAAGGTGCTGGCCGCGCTCAACCTCGACCCGGAGCGCATCCGGCAGCACGAGGAGAGCCTGATCCAGGCCAAGAAGCTCCGCCTCCAGTCGGCCTACACCAAGCAGCAGGCCGAGCTCGACTGGCAGCTCTCGCAGCAGGGCTTCAAGGACGAGGGCGAGGGCGAGGGCAGCAGCGGCAGCAACGGCGCCGCCGCCAAGCCCAAGCCCAAGGCCAAGTCGAAGAAGGCGCTCGAGGCCGAGGCGGCGATCAAGGCGTCGATCCGCAACTTCAAGGAAAAGTCGCAGTTCGACGCCGAGGAAAAGGAGCTCGACAAGATGCTCAAGGACCTCGAAAAGGAGCGCAAGACCAACAAGTCGCTCGCCCCCAGCGCCAACATCGGCAGCTGCGCCCGCAAGATCGCCTCCAAGTACGAGGCCATCAAAAAGGCCGAGGCGGAGCTCACCGACAAGACCAACATGTCGGACGTCTCGCTGACGACGTCCAAGATGAACTACATCGACCCGCGCATCACATCGGCGTGGCTCAAGTACTGGGACGAGAGGCTGATTGACCTCGGCGTCGCCACCCCGCCGGCGGCCAAGAAGCGCGCCGCGGTCAAGAAGGAGGAGGAGGACGATGACGACGACAAGGGCAAGGCCAGGGGAAAGGGCAAGGGCAAGGCGACCAAGGCCACGGCCACCAAGGGCAAGAAGGACGCCAAGCCGGCCAAGGGGGCCGCCAAAGGTCGCAAGGTCAAGAAGGAGGAGGAGGAAGAGGACGACGACGACGACGCCGCCGCCATCGCCGACTCGGATCGCCTCGACCTGCGCCTCAAGGTGCTGTCGGTGTCGCAGTACTTTCCGACGACGCTGCAGAAGAAGTTCCGCTGGGCCTCGGTGGGCGATGACGGGCGGCCCATTACCAAGAAGTGGACGTTTGTGCCCAACGCACGCAGCAAGATGCGGCAGCTGGCGTCGGCCGACCGCAAGGGCGACCAGCCCTCGACGGGCTCGATGGCGGCCATGACGGACGAGAACCCGGCCGGCGCGGGTCAGCCCGACCCTACCTCGACCAAGAACAAGGTGACGGCCGGCCGTGGCCAGAAGCGCAAGGAGCCGCCCACCGGCGCCGCCACCGCCGCTGCGCCCGCCAAGCGAGGCCGGGCCAAGAAGCCGGCGATCAAGGCCGAGTCCGAGGACGAAGACGACGACGACAGCGACGACGACATGCCGCTCGCCGCGAGCAAGTCCTAGCTTGCCGAGGTCGGCATCTTCCCCGCGTCCATCTCGGGCGTGCCAGTTGGCTCGGATGCTGTCGCTGCGACTCCGCCGCCGACGTATCTGGTCTGAACCGGACCGCTTGGGCACCGCCGCTCGACTTGTCCATCCGCGGTGCTTCGCCACCTCGACCAACATCGCTCTCCCTCTCTCTCTCCCCGCTGCCTCTCTACGCGTCACCCCCAGCGTCTCTTGTCTCTGTACTTGTCCCACTTGCAGGCCGTGTCCGTCTCTCTCTCTCTCTCTCTCTCCATCTCTCTCTCTCTCCCCTCTCCCCTCTGTCTTCGTCGCTCTCCACCGCTGACTGATAGCTAGCTGTACACCACCACGGTCGCCATGCCGCCGGGTCGAGGTGGCTCTGCGTCGATGCCCACTGGGCTCTGATCGACGCGGGCGCCCGAGCTTGGGTCCTCTAATCGTTGGCGACGACGACGAGCTGCAACCAAGCCTTGCTTGTCCGGCCGTCGCCGCGCGCACTCTGCAAGGCACAAAGCCGCATGCCACCAGCACACGACGCCTGAAGATGGGACCTGGGGGTTCTCTGAAGTGCTTCCAAGTGCTGCCTCGGGGTTGTTGCCGGCTGGTTGCACGGACATGTGTATTCCGTCCAGGGACGGGACGGGGGGGCTTATTTTAGGCCGGGTGCCTTAGAGTGGTCGCCAGCCACTTTGGGGGCGGATCCAGCCACACTTGGGGCGATCCAGCCACCTGAGGACGGGGAGATTTTTTTGTGTGCTTGCTCGCAGGCAGCTAGAGAAGGAAAGGGGGGGGGGGGGAT